AGAGATCCACTGCCTCTGCCTCCTGAGTGCTGGGACTAAAGGTATGTGCCACTACTCCCAGGTATGAATGGATCTTTGTGTTGAGAGGGCAAAGTGAGAAGCCCCAAGACCTCCAGCACATCGCTGTTTGCATAAGTTTAAAGGCCTGTCTGGAAACAACCATCCACAGACAAGAGAGAGACCATTAACAGCACAGAACAGCGAGGGTTATGAGGGGAGCAAGAGGGGCATGGGGATAAGAGAGACCGATTAATAAAACACTGGGAATTAGGTCTATGGGAATTGACTATTGTGTCTCAGGAAATGGAAGAGGACTCGTTGTGCTTCCTACCATGACAAAAAGCCTGCTAACCTAGACCAGGGTCATGGTGCCTCCAAACTTGACACTTGACTGGCAGAAGCAGGAGGATCAGGAGTTCAAGGTCATCGTCAGCTACATACTGAGTTTGAGGCCAGCCTTGGCTCCATGAAACTCTGTCTCAAAAAGAAAGCAAACAAAACAACCTTCTGTTAGCCTACAAAGCACCAGCATCCTCCACAGATAGCTGAGAGGCCATGGACAAGGTAGGCTCCTCTGACACTGTAACTAGAAGGGGATCCCCACCTTCACCCCCTGATAAGCCACTCATTTGTGTGTGTCTGTGGGGGTGGTGTTTCTAAAGTGCTAACCCATTACTAAGAAGACCATGGCCAGATCCCAGACCCCTCTGCAGATACTAGCCAAGGCTGGAGACAGAACACAGTTGTAGACATTCTTGGCTGGGGCTGGGGCTGGGGCTGGGAGAAAACACCAAACAGTGAAGGTGAAGGAGACAGCAGCAGTCCCCTTGGGAGAACAAGCTTGATGCAGGATCCCCTAACCTGCCACAGTCTCTTGCCAGTCCTGGTCCTGCTTTTGACCTTAGTCGCATGCCCAGTGCTGCCCTTGGAAACTAGTGTAGCTGACTGGGAGCCACAGGCAGACCCTGAGTGAGCAGAAAAGTTGTCTTAAGGTCTCCATCTGACCCAGCAGTCTGTGCCATAAGTCCCCACCTTCAGACCTTTAAGAGGATGACTTTGCCAGATACCTCAGTCCTGACAGGGCAGCAACCACTTCCAGGGGCCCCCACGATACCTCTGCCAAGCTTCCCTGTCCTGCTTTGCGATGAACAAGCACAGCCACTCCAACCACAGTGTCTCCTGCAGAGATGGGACCATGCCTTTAGCCTGCATGCCATGGCCACACCCAGCTCTGGGAGAAGACTTCTCTCAGTACATGATGCTGGTCTTGCCTTGTAATGCACTGGCCCCTATACACAGCAGGGCCCCTCTCCATCACAACCAAGGTCCCCAGGATCAAAGCCACCAAACATCTGCCAAGGACAACCCCTGTCCTCAGAATGGGCCCTGACCCATTTTGTTCCCAAGCTCTACATCAGTAAGACCTGTCCACACCACTGCAAAAGATACCTACATCTGCCACCAATTTCCCTGCCTCTCCTGGCCTGGCCCCCACATGACTTTGCTCCTGGTCTCCTGGCTTCCACCTCAGCTTCCATTGTCCTCTTCACTGAGTGACCAGCGCAGCAAGTTACCAATGTCATGAATAGGGTCACAACACTCCTGCTTAAACTCCTGCTGCCCTCATGTGAAGTATTACCTACCCATCATCCTCCCTTGAGGTGTAAGCTTATTCATTCTAGAAGCTTGGCTCTCTATTAAAAAAGAGCCCTCACGTGCCGGGTGTGGTGGCGCACACCTTTAATCCCAGCACCTGGGAGGCAGTGGCAGGCAGATCTCTGTGAGTTCAAGGCCAGCCTGGTCTACATAGTGATTTTCAGGTGGACTGGGACTAGGGAGACCCTGTCCAAAATAAATAGGGACTAGAGAGATAGCTCAATGGTTAAGAGAACTGACTGTTCTTGCAGAAGACCTGGGTTTGAATCCCAGCACCCACATGGTGGCTAACAACCATCTATAACTCCAGTTCCAGGGAATCCGACATCTTCTTCTGTCCTCCACAGGCACTGTACAACATGGGTGTACTTACACACATGCAGACATAACATTCATACGCATAAAATAAAAATAAATAAATCAAAATAAATTTTTAAGCAGCCCGCTGGGTTGGGCACAGTGGCACACACCTTTAATCCCAGCACTCTCGGGAGGCAGAGGCAGGCAGATCTCTGTGAGATTGAGGCCAGCCTGGTCTACATAATGAGTTCCAGGCAAGTTGGGGCTATGGGGAAATTCTGTCTCAAAAAGACAATAAATAAATAAAAAGCAGCCCTCTGAAGCGCCTCCCGGCCACCTGAGCTTCGTGTCCCCTATACCTCCACTTGCCAGGTTCCATGGTGTCCTACCCACTTCTTCCCCCAGCACTTAGCCGGACCTGGAACCATTGCAGCATCTACTTGTCTGCTCCTCACAAGAAAATTCACTGCAGGGCTCCTAGTGCCTAGAAGGTCCCAGCCCAGGGTGCACACAGTCACACCTGAGGATGTGGAAATAGGGGGGCATGAGTCTGCAGACATCAGTGGATCTTCCAGTGCGATTCTGGGATCACGTATATGTCCAACCCACAGATCTGTGACATTCATCCTGGCTTTACAATTCCCCAACTGTTCAGAATCCTTCAAGGATTCTGACAGAGTACCTGAGTGGACTGCAGGTGATCCTCATTCCCCCTGGTAACTAGTGAGTGAGTCATGGATACTTGGCTGGGTGGTCAGTGTCTCCCAGACCTTGATGGAAGATGGAGGAAGTCAGTGCCACCTCTGGATGGGCCACTGGGCCCTGTCTGCCCAGATAGCACAACCCCAATGCTAGGGCCCTTCAAAAGCTGGGGTGCCCCCATTTGTAAAAGAGCAACTCACCCAGAGCATGGAGGCTTTGGAAAGCACTAGAAAGCTCCAGGTATATGGCTCGGATGAGCAGCTTGTCCAGTCACCTGGGAGCTGAGCTGAACATAGAAAGCCTTGTCTCTCAGGAAATCCCTGGGCCTCAGGCAAGCTGGGTTGGTTGAGCTTTGGGGCCTCCTCACACATGGTCCCTTCATGGTCACTCCTGTGAGTTTCCAGGACTGAAGATGGGATAGGGAGAGGAGGAAAGGGCAGGGAGGTGGAGTGGAGGAAAGGGGGGATGGCTAAAGGGGAATTTTAAAGGGTGGGAGAGGAGATAAGGTGCAGGACAGAAAGTCAGCCAGAGAGACAGGCAGGCACTCCAAACCTTCACACCAGAGTGGCAGAGAGGAGATGGGGAGGGGGAGGGGGAGGGGGAGGAGGAATTCAGGGATAGCAGGACCCAAATGCTGCACACGGAACGGAACAGGCCACACGAGTGCTTCCAGCAGGTGGCCTGGGTACCTCCTAACTAATTTCATGTCATCTCTGCTCTGAGAAGCCCCAGAGAGCCTTCCACCCACCATCAGTGGCTGGCACGGATAAGCCGCTTATGTAACACGGATGCTGCTAAAAGCCGCTTCCATTCATAAGTCTCTGCCTGTCACTGTGGAAACACAGTGAAGAGGAAAAGGGAAAAGAGGGGAAGGGACATGTAGGAGAGACGAGGCCAGCTGGATGCACCTGAGCAGGAGCTGAGACAAGGAGGAGAGATTGCCCTACCCTAACCAGACATGTTGGAAGCCATCAGAGGAGCCCCTTTTGACTAGCTGCAGAGGCTGGGCACACCCCAGCTTCCGGAGGCACAGTGTGCTGCTTGCTCCTAGCTTGTTCACTGGGGCAGAGTTGGCCATGGCTCCACTGTGATGGGATTTCGGCTTGTATTATGTCATTAAATCTAAAGGCAGCAATGACTTTGAGGGAACAGTGGTGAGTAGAGACAGTGATCTGGTGCCTGATCTGACAGCACAGCTGGGCTAAGAAGAACTTCCCAAAGTGCCAGACAGCTCAGAGTGTCATTCTGTGCCTTTGACTCTGTCGTGTTAGAACCCAGAGTCCTCCAAGGTTAGGCGGCAGTGGGGACAGGTCTCAGAAGGGAAATGGGAGGCCTGGGCCAGAATTGAGTTCTGTTCAGACCCTTGGGGACGGAAGCCAGATCTCAGCAAAAAGCCCAAGTCTCATCGCACACTTAGAACCATTAGAAGTGACATCTTCAAAAACCTTTACTTAAGAGTAGTGGGAGTTGTGAAAACACAAACCAGGGCCTTGCACTCAAAGTTTGGGGACTGTGAGTTGCCGCTAATAAGTTACCAGGTGACTTTAAGGATTGTGGAGTGAGATAAACCACCAATTCAGACTCATCAGACTCCCCCAGGCAGCAGGAGAAGCTCAGCGCCCAGGAGAACACAACCAGCACATTTGGCCTTTCTTTGCCCTTTGCAACCCTTGCCCGCTGCAGACCTGGTTGATGCAGCTCCTCCTCTGCTGCTTTAAAACCCAAGCCTATCTCTGGGCCTTCTTACTGTAGTATCAACGGCTACTTCTGGTTGCATTAACTCTCCACCTTGCCCACCCCACAGCATCAGCCCCTTAGCCAACGCTTTAGAACAAAGAACTAAGCTTCAGGAGCAGAGTGTCAGTTACTCATGAACTGAGTGTTTCATGGTGACCAAGGACACCTTCCGTACCTGTCTCATCACAAAGACCACATTATGACCACAGGCACTTGCTTTACTCAAGACCCCAAAGGGATTGTAGCTTATTTCCAAGGCTCAGCCTGCTGCCAGACATAGGTACTCAATTAATGTGCATGCATCAATCAATGGATCCCGCTGAGTTCCCATGAGTTCCTCCAAATCCCCACTGATGACTCATCACAATCAACAAACACTAATAGAGCATCTACTGTATGCATGTCTCTGGCTAGATCACAGACCAAAGGCTTTCCCATCCATTAGTCAATCAACTAACATTTCATTGATTGACTGATTCGTTCATTCATTCAAGCTAAGCATCTGCTGTATGTTTACCCTGACTCCCCAGACAGCCTGGATTGTAAGGGCCTTACTTTGCAGCATCTCAGGTCCCCAGGAAGGGAGATAACACAGGGAAAAGTACCTTGGGGTTTGTAGGGGAGCTCAAGTTTTCTGGAGAAAATCCATACTTGAAGCTTATAGGATGGGATGACTCAGCAAAAGCTCCCAGGAACCTGGAGGCACAGAAGACCAAGCCCATTTGGGTAGCAGTCCTTCCCTCAAGCACCTCCCCCCTGGGGCCACCACCATCACTCAGCTGACCTGTGACTTGCTTGTACTCTCAAGTGTGGAAGACGGTCATTGCGCCCACTTTACAGATGGAGAAACTGAGGTTCCAGATCCCCAGCAAGCCTGTCTTCTTTCTCCTGGGTCTCACAGCTGCACCCTGGCCCCATAGGTCCTCTTAGGTTTCTCCTCACCTGACCTTGCCTCAGTCCATGCCAACAACCCCCCACCCCAGAGCACTTCCTGGACAGTACCCGCCCCTCCAGTCTCAGAACTAAGCTCCTGGCAAGCATCAGCTCTTGACAAAGGCTGTGACTATCCATTCTTTAGCTGATATGACTGAGATCCAGAAACATGAAACTGCACAAGTAGAAAGTTCTAGAACCAGGCTCTAAGCTCAGGAGATCTATTTCCAGAGTTCATGGTCTTAGCCACAAAGTTGCATTAACTTAGCACACCTAACTGAAGAAACCCGAGGCTCAGAGAGGTTAAAGAGCTTTGCCTGAAGTCACACAGCCTGGAGCCCACACTACAGCCCCTGGGGGCTGTCGGATGGGGGACAGGAAGGAAGGGCAGTGTCTGCAGTCTCCCCTCCTCCTCTGAGCACAGGAGCCTCTCCATCCTGGGTGGCAGCTGAATAATTTAGATGCTTCAGCTCCAGCCCACCACTACTAGGTCCCGGGGTTTATTTTTATCCAGATTCAGCCACAGCTCTTAACAGAAATAAACCCCACTGCATCAAATCCCAGCTTGTCTGTGTGTAGGACCAGCACCCCCACCCCACAGACGGAAGACAGGCCATATGCTGGCTAGGGGAGGGAGGGTTGATAGAAAGACACAAACTCTCCATGACCAATATGGAGAAGGGGAAAGGACCGAAAAGAGTCACACATATATAGACCACATCTTACAAGCCACCCCTGAGCAGCCACCCATCCAGAACATACTCTCAGGAACAGAGATGGGTTATATACACAGAGCAGGAGGGAAAGGCCAGAGCTAGCTGCTGGGACCCACTCTCTGCCCCTGTGAGATTGTAGTAAGAAAGAACTGTCCACATGTGTCACCAGGCTTCAGCTTCCTGATCTAGTTCAGGCTTGCAGTGTGATGATGAACAAGATAACCAGTCCACACCCCAGGCCAGGATGCAGAGGTTGGGCCATTAGGGCCAGGAGTTAAGGGACACCTCTATATCCATGGTGATGGGTTCAGTGAGAACCCATGCCTTGATATATGATCTTGAACCAGTGACTTTCCCTTTCTAGGGCCACCTGAAAGTTAGGGTTAGAGAGTGACCATGCTAAGTCTTCCTAAAACTCTGTCCCCACTCAAACACCCATAGCAGCAGCTGTGTAACAGTCAGAGAAACACAAAGCTGGAAGGGCCTGGTCACCTAGACCAGTTGCCTATTGCACAATGGGGAAATTGAGGCCCAGAAAGAAGAGTGAGCACTGGGACTCAGTGCCCTGATCCAAGTCCAGAAATCTTTCCAGAAGGCTCTCTCTGGTGCACCCCAATGCACCACTTCAAATGTGAAAGGGAGGAGGGAGGCAGGCTCCTGGCTCTCAGCCACCCCAGGGAGGTGAGACAGCAAAGAGATGACCAGGAAGCCTCGAATCTGGACACCACAAGCCTGGGCTGCTCTGTAGGGCTGGCTGATGCTACAGGACTGGGAGATATAGGCTAAATAATAAAACATCCCATGGTAGCATGATGCTTCCCTGAAGCCTTGGGCTCCCTTGACAAGGCCTCAGGCCCCTAGACCTCCCCACAGTCCAGGGTTGAAGGGTTCACATTCAGTAGAGTGGACCCCAAAGGCCTCTTCACTCCACAGACTGGCCATGGGCCATTCTGACTAGAGAATGTCAAAGTTTAGTGCTTGAAATATCACCCATGGGCAGGTCTGTGGCTCCTCATTTGAGCCAAATTTCCTCACTCTTCATACTTGCGGCTTCCTTGGAGGCAGCCTCCCCCTCAAGGTCACCTGGAGAGGGAAGCCGGACCTTGGCAGAGCATCACATCCTTGGCACTAGCCACCAGGGAAAGTGTCACTCTCTCCTGTGTCCCACCTAGACAGACTCATTTTCCCTGTCCCAACTTATCTCTGAGGCCAGAAAACATCTGGGTGGACCCTGCTGACAGCCCAGGCTTGCTAGTCTCAGGAACTGATCTGTTCTTCCTTCTACCTCCAAGTTCAAGTTCCTAAAGAATTCCTGGTGGGTAAAGAAGGCTGAAGGGGCCTCTGAGAGGACAGTCAGGATGCTAAAAATAAGGACTTTCATTTTCAAAAAGGTAAGATGTAATTAAAGCAGAGAGCATAGAGAAACCCTCTTTTGATAGATCGTAGATTACCAGCAAAAGCATTTTCAAATTAAATGTGAGCTTTGGGATTGAGCAGTGAGGGACCTCCACTTCCCACTCACTAACAGGTTGGTGCAGGCTTTATACCATTGGGGTATCAGAGAAAGAAGTGAGTACAGGGGTACAGGCTGTTGTGGAACACAGGGACCTTTCCCTCAGAACAAGCCATGTCTCCCTTCCTTATGGCAAGTGGGCTTAATAATGGAGCTCTTGTGTCACAGCCACATGCACCCCTCTTCCAGTTTCTTACAGGTGACACCACCTGTGCAAATGCACCATCCTCAGCTGGGCAGGCATCTGACTGCTCCCTTCTGCCTTGTTGACCATTCAAGCCAAGCAAAAGGTGGCACAGCTCCCCATTCTCCCATCTCAGGATAGCTGAGCTTGCAGAAACCACCACAATTCAATTACTCAGCTGGCCTTGGAAGACGGCCCAGTCTAAGCCCATCTTAGCAAGTCCTGGCCAAGGTGCCCAGGGTTAAAGTTCCAATCTCAGGACTCTCTCCCATTTGGTGTTAAGGTGCTCACCCACTAAATCAGACTGCTCACAGGACCTCTGTGCCAAACTGGCCTTGAAGGGTTAAGTTACTCAGAGAGCTGCCAGTCACTTTCCCCAGCTTCTGCCGCAAAGAGGGTAACCTGGGCAGAAGCTACTGTCCTGATTGCATTGCCTAAACATGAGCACATTTTGCCCCCTCCCTGGGCACTGAGCCCAAATCTCATTTGCCCTGGGGTGCCGCTTTATCCCTAAAACACTGCAGGATATAGGCAAATAACTATGGCCATTTCTCAACAGCCCTACCTTCCCAACTACCCTCTGCCCCTCCAGCCCATGCACACACTTAGGGTTGCCATATCCTCTAGCCCATTTGCACAGCTAGGGAGAATGTCACTCACCAGGACAGTGGAGGATTGCAGTGGAATGGGTGAATCGAATCCTTGCCAACTCCCTGCCTTCCCTGCCTGGTGGGAAGACACTGAGTCCCGGTGACTTGATTTGAAAGCTCAGTGAAGGTGCCTGAAAGAAAATCGTGTATTTGACTCACCTAGTCTTCTCAAAATAAAATCAAGGCACCAACACCACACACATACACACACACACGCACACACACACACATACACACACACACACACACACACCCCACCTCTAAATCACGCAGAATGAAGACAAAAAGGAATACTGCTGTCAGAGGAGAAAACTCAGAGCAGCTGGAGTCTGTGGAGAGCGGACGGTGATTCGCCCAGACTGTTCCACATGGATGGAAGGTTTTGCTCTGTGAGTCTCTCTCTTTCTCTCTCTCTCTCTCTCTCCCTCCCTCCCTCCCTCCCTCCCCCCTTCTCTCTCCTCTCCTCTCCTCTCCTCTTTTCTCCCTTTCTTCCCTCTCCCTCTCCCAGCAGTATATGCAACTCAGGGTTGCTGGCAGTAGACGAATCAATCGCTTCCCTGGTGCCCCAATTGGGCTGTCACCACTACGGCAAAAACCCTGTGTGATCCAGAGGGAGGGGCAGCTGCTTCCTGGCGCTGGGGAGCCAAGCCTGCCTCCCACTGCGATTTATTGTGCGGCAGCGCCTGCAGGAGGAAAGGTGGGAGGCCAGAGGGGAGATTGGGTGCCCCAGAGAGCCCAGCGAAGAACGGAGGGAGGGAGGAACCGAGGAACCTGCGAATGGTCAGTCAGCACCACGGACAGCACCAGGTGCTGGTGAAGGGGCTGGACCACCAGGAACCCTAAGAGGAGAGGGGGAAGTTACGGGATGGCTGGAGCAGAGGAAGGAGGGAGGCCAGAGAAAGGGATAGGAGATAGAACTGCTGGACCTCACACAGCCCCCTCACCACACACTTGCTCTAATACTGTCTTGATGTAAAGAAGCTGTAACTTCACAGCCCCTCCTCCAGCAACAATTCCTGACCTTCGCTTCTCTGCCTTCCCAGTCTCTGTGGAAGGGTCTCCCGGTGGCTTTCCTCCTCTAAGACCACCCATGCTGCTGCTTAAATCTGACCTACACCTCAGGCTCCTTGGAATACAGAGCAGGAAAAACGGGGCTTAGGAAAACGGGAGTGTCTGGAGAGCTCGATGACAGTTTCAGGGAGTCCAGGTCAGCTCCATACAACCTTGGAAAAGGCATTAAATATTCCCATATTCTGTATGAAAAATGAAGATGTGACTACATTATCTTCCTTAAGATCTGAAGAACGATGTTCAAGAGGAGCAATATGAAAACCCACGTTAGGGGCTGCTATGACTCCATGATCTACAGCCCATTCTGAGTCAAATATTTTGATGGAGATAAAGGAGTTGACAGCCAAACAGGATGGCACGTGCCAACCTACAGCATGTGCTTTGAGTGGAACAGAGCTGGGAATTTTAGGAGGTCCAAATCAGACACTTGATCCTTGGCCAAAGACCTGTCTCCCCAAACCAGACCGGCTTTCTGAGGCAACATCATTATACATAAGGAAATAAAACTGTTAGAGGGGAAACATACAGTGAGTTCCCATGATGCTCAGAATCCCAGATCTCAGGGGCTCTGTTCCTGCTAACTAGGGAAAGTGCTCATATCAAGGAAAGAACAGGCAAGCACAGACAGGCAAGTCAAGGGTTGCTTGGAACTTCCCTGCAAAGTGAAGGAGAAAGACCCTCTCTTCCATCCAACACATGTAGTTTCACATCCCAGTGGCCTAGCATGAGCTACTGTATTTTCCACTTAATTCTCCCTTTGAGGACTAGAATTTAATTGTCAGGACCTTAGAAACCAAGTAGAGCTTCATTCTATAGATGAATTTGATGGTGATCATGATGGTGATGGTGTGTTCATGATGATCGGTGGTGATTGGTGATGATGGTGGTGGTGGTGGTGGAGATGGTGATGGTAGGGATGATGGTGATGGTGGTGATGATAGTGGTGATGGTGGTGATGATAGCGGTGATGGTGGTGATGGTAGTGATGATGGTGATGGTGGTGATGATAGTAATGGTGGTGGTGATGGTGGCGATGATGGTGGCGGTGATGATAGTGATGGTGGTGGTGGTGATGATGGTGGTGGTGGTGGTGGTGGTGATGGTGCTGGTAGTGGTGATGGTGGTGATGATGGTGATGATAGTAATGGTGGTAGTGATAGTGGTGATGATAGTGATGGTGGTGGTGGTGATGATGGTGGTGGTGGTGGTGGTGGTGATGGTGGTGATGATGGTGGTGGTGATGGTGGTGGTAGTGGTGATGGCGGTGGTGGTGAGAGTGATGGTGGTGGTGGTGATGGTGGTGGTGGTGGTGATGGTGGTGATGATGGTGATGGCGGTGGTGGTGGTGGTGGTGATGGTGGTGGTAGTGTTGGTGATGCTGATGATGATGGTGATGGTGGTGGTGGTGGTGATGGTGGTGCTGATAATGATGATGGTGATGGTGGTGATGGTAGCAGCTACTGAGAACCTACTATCCTCCAGGCATTCTTCCAGGATCTTTCCAATGTGTCATCTGGAGCCTTCACCATGACCCTTAGATGCTGTTTTTATTCTCATTATATAAACAAGGAAGCTGAGACTCAAGTCCTTGTTCAAGGTTACACAGCAAGTGGTTATCACAGTCAAACCCAGGGTTGTGTGATTTCAAAACCTGCACACTGGAATGTCCAGGCCACAATCAAAGGCAGTTTTCAACTTTTTTGAAAGACCTCATTGAATATTTTCTGAGAAGAGTCTGTGACACAAATTCATTCTTCTCACTTTACAGATGGAGAAACTGAAGACCCGAGAGGTTGGAGATTCTGCCTAGTCAAAGACTCAGAAGAGGCAGCACTGAGTACAGAATTGAAGACTTTCAGATGCCAGGGCCTGTGCTCTTACACCTAGAAGAGCCCAGTGCATAGTAAGTCCTCAACAAACATTTGAACAACTATCCAAGAAGCTCACAGAGGGACAAACCTCACACTGGGTGCTGATGGTGCGGTAGAGTAGAAGTAGTTTCCTGGTGTCTCGGTTTCCAGATTCAAGAGAGTTTCTACCTCACTGTTGTTTCTTTGGGCACAAGGCATGCATTCTGGGAGAATCAGTCTTAAATTCAGTTCTTTCTTAAAGAGGGAATAAAATTGCCACCTGTCAAGTGCCTCGACACCCACTAAGTGTCCAGTACAGCCATGTTACTGTCTCCTGTCTTCATGACTACATGAAGTGGGTAACAGCTGTCTAGCTTAGGATGAGAAGCCTATGGCTCAGAGAGGGAGAGTGGTCTCCAAGCTCATACAGACAAGGAGAGTCCAAGATAGGAGTAAAAAATCTCGTCTGTTGAATTCCAACTCTTGTGTCTTCCCCATCCTTTTCTCAAATCAGGTCCCCCAAACCTCCAGGAGATGAAAAGAGGAGGCTTGGATTCACACACACACCCCACAGAGGCTGGTTTCAGCTAGAACAAGTCATGCTTTTAGCTGCTTTTGCATACTGGGTACTTGTCTAAGCCTTCATTGAAACAAGGGTTCTGCAGCACAATTTAAAATAATATGGTTAACACCACCTCTGCATCCTCCCAGGTGTCTGCCCTCTAGGTGCCTTCTCAGGGGACCTCACCCACCTTCCTAGCTCCCCAGTCACTACCTTCAACCCCCTTTTCTTCCCTGAGTGTGATGGAGAAGCTTTCATTCAGAGCCAGCAGCTACTGTGAGCTCTGACAGCCTCCTGCCACTGCAGCAGGGAGATGTATTGAAACCAGATGCCACAAGGCTGAGCCCTCCAGCCTGGGCTGCTCCCTGAGGCTTCATTCAAGCCTGAGCTTGTGAAGAACATTCTGAGCCCTGGGTGCAGCAGCCAGCTGCCTTGTCCTGTTGAGTAGCAGGTCATGACGCTCCCCCCGCCCCAGGATGGACCGTGAAGACTATAACAAATGGAGCTCCTCAGCGCTGGCTTTTCCTGGGCTCTGTATTATTATTATCATAACTCTGTGCATGTGTGTGTGTGCAAGTGTATGGGTGTGTGTTCTACTTTCACCTCTGTTACTGTGATAAAGCACTCTGACCAAAAGCAACTTACGGCAAGAAAGGGTTTATTTCAAGTTAAAAGTCCATCCATCATTGAGGGAAGTTAGGGCAGGAACTCAAACAGGAACTTGAAGCAGAAACCATGGAGGAATGCTCCTTGCTGGTTCACTTGGTCTCAACTAGCTTTCTTATACAACCCATGCCCATCTGCCCAGGGAGCTGTGCTGCCCACAGTAGGCTGGGCCCTCCTGCATCAATTAGTAATCAAGACAGTCCCTCACAGACTAGTCTGATAAAGACTATTATTCAATTGAGACTCTTTTTCAAGGGCTTCTAGATTGGGTCAAATTAACAGCTAATGCTAATTGGGACAGTGTGTGTGTGTGCGTGCGTGCATGCATGCGTGTGTGTGTGTGTGTGTTTAGGTGCACACACATGATTGGGCCAGAGGAGGTTAGGTGTCCTGCTTCTGACTCTGCCTCATTTCCTTACAGGCTAGCTCCTGGATCCTCTTGTCTCCTCTGACGTCTTGTACTTACAGATTTTACGTGAGTGCTAGGGATTCGAACTCAGGTCTCACGTGCATACAACTAGCACTCTTACCCATTGAGCCCTCTCCCCAGCTCCCATGTTCTTATCATAACTTCACCACAGTCCTGTGAGCTTATACTGAGGATTTTATTTCCATTTCACATATGTGAAAACAGTCCAGAGACTTAGGACGACTTCCCAGCACCCATTTAGTTCCTAAGTGGGCCCTCTGAGTCTGTAATCCCATAACGGGTGCCACCCTCAATTATCACAGGCTCCCCCATTTATTTTTTGGTGTTTCTTATTCACCAAACTGCACTTTCCAGGTCTGTGCGGCTCTTGATAATGCAAGCAGTGGAGAGACAGATAATACTTACCTATCTTAGATGATAGGCCAGGCATGGGGTGTCAGGGGGTTCATCCAAGCTGGCATGGCTGGGAGGGGCCCGCATTGACTCCTGGGTAAATGGAAAGGGAACCCATTGCCTTTCTGTCTCCTTGGGGTATGGGCAGTGTGTTAGTCAGGGTTCTCTAGAGGCACAGGACTGACAGAGTGTATGTGGTCGAGAAATTATTAGTCAGCTTGCTTCAAAACAGCTAATAACAGCTGAATCCCACCCAAGAGGAAGAGAACTGGCAACTGCTTGGTCCTTGAGGTTGGATGGAGCCTTAGCAGCCAGAGGAGTCCCACAGTGGCTGTCTCACCCTGGTAGTGGCTCAGCCTCAGCAAGTCCCAATCTGACACTGAAAACCCAGAGGCTTCCTGAAGAGCCACCTGTCCTCAGTCAGCTGGAAGTCTGGAAACATTCCATTTGTCAGCAAAGGAATCAACAGCAGCAATGAGACAAATCAACTTGAAGAAGAGGGAGGGCCAACCAGCAAAAGGTGAGTAGGATAACCTCCCTTCTGCTTCACCCTTTTATCTGGGCTGCCTCGGGAAGGTACCGCCCACATTTGGGGTGGGTCTTCCCATATTAATTAAGCAGTTAGGACAAGTCATCAGTTGAGCCTTCCTACTCAGGGGATTCTAATTTGTGGCAAGTTGCCATTAAAACCAACCATCACAAGCAGCCAGAGAGTCTCAAAGAATGTTCCCATCATACTCTGGAAGGGTGCTGGGTGGAATGACAGACCCCAAAGAAGTCCACACCATGAGCCCCAAAAGTGGGGAGGTGAGGAGGATATTGCTTTAGTGGTAATACGGAGTTTACACGTTGAGTCAGGTAAGGATATTGTAATGGAGGCTTAGCCTGGGTATGAGGGGGTGTCCAAAGAAACTTCAAGGTCTAGATAAAAGGGGGCAGAATCAAGGAGAGGTGATAATGGGGAAGAGAAAGGGAAGGTGCTGGTGCTATGTTTCGGGAATTGGTCATTAAATGGAAGAAGGGGCCACAAGCCAGGGAGTATAGGCATCCCAAGAAGCCAGAGAGGCAAGGAAGGCATCCCCCAGCCTCCTGGGGAAGGGCAGCCACACAGGCACCTTCACTGCAAGACTGGAGAGGGTTGAAGTGTCACAGGGCAGATCTCCAGTGACAGAACTCATCAGAAATTGGGAGACAGAACTGATGAAGCAGAGACCTGAGTTCTGGGGGAAGGGAGGGATTGAGAGCAAGGAGACAGACGAAGGAGGGAAGAGGCTGCTGGGACCCCCAAGGTCAGCCTGTGTGGCCAGACAAGTCCTTCCCACCAGAAGAGGAGCACATCCTGCAGAGCCCACAGCCCCCTTAGGAAACAGCCTAGTAATTACAGAGGAGCCACAGCGGGGCCCAGGGAGACAGATCAGCCCCTATTATTTATTCATCAGTCAATTTGGAGCTATCAGGCAAGGCGCCGTGCACAGTGGGTGTGGGACTTGGACTTAACAGTTTGCTTCTTGGCTGATTTGCTTGCCAGCTGTGTGACCTTGGCCTGGTAGCTGACTTATGCTAAGCCTCAGTGTCTTACCAGAGGAAGTGGGACCAGAATGTCTTCCCCAGCTGCCTCCACCCAGCACACCAGCAATGTCTCCCTGGGCCAATGGCTGAACGAGCACCACAAGTGCTAAGCAACAAACAACAGTTATCATTAGTAAGTACCTCCTGTGTGTTTCTTCTACCCCCAAGGAGTAGAGCTAAGCAGCCTGCCCCAAACAGGCTGCAGGTAGGTATAAGAGTAATCAAATGATCAAAAACTCAGAGGGCCAATTATCAAAGCAAGGCGCTATAGTTCAAACCCACCTTCCCCTACTATAACCTGTGTGACTTTGGGAAAGTCACTAAACTGCTCTGCCATACTCCCTGTCTATAGAGTGAATAAACAGTTTCTCTTTGCTAATCTTTGTAAAACCCTTCAAGGAGGGCCTGGCTCACAGAAGGCCGGGGGTGGGGTGAGGTGGGAGCATATTTATTACTGTTGCCAGTACATTCATTATTTGTTAATGGACAGAAGTGTTACCTAAAGAATGACCTGTGCTACCTTGAGTTCCAAAAGGCCATGACTGGGTTGTCCATGGACACATGCATTCTAAACTTTTAGATGTTTATTTAAAATATTGCATCTCCATTTTCAAACAGAACACAAGCTTTCTTCTGCGCCAATTTATCTCAGTCAATGTAATGTAGGGCAGGAAGAAATTTTATTTCCCTTTTTACTTACAGTACCTCAATACAATTACTTTCCCTGAAATCTGCCACCTTTCCCCAAGGTGTGCTGGATTTGCCTAATCCTCTCCACTTAGCAACTGAACCTCCTACTTAAGCTGGAGAAGCCAGAAGCCTGAATGGTCTGGTCTGTCAGGGCTCTCCTCTCCAGGTCCTCCCTACAATCTGTTTCTGGCCTGTAACTGGTCAGTTACTAGCCATTATTGATGGCTGCCCCTCACTGAGCCCTTCCTCCAATAGCCTGTGCTTTCTGCATCTCCTACTTCCAGAACTTTCCACAGGCTCAGCTCAGCCTAGGGACCAAGACAAATCTGATGTCTGGCCTGTGTTGAGGGGAATTCTTCGAAGCTTTGACATTAGGATCTTTGTGTTGACAGGAAGCTCATGAAGGAGCCATCTGGGGCCTCAAAAAACACAGTCACCAGAGACAGATCTGTCAAGGGTGCAGGGGAGGTAGCTGGCAGGAGCCCCAAGTCTTCAAGATGCTGCTGCCTTGGGGCGATGCTGGGACACTCTGGGCTAGATCCCATCTGAGTCCATAAAGCAGAGACAGAGCCAGGAGAGGGGCCTGGACCTCTGTCTGCAGCGAGGCTGGAGTGGACCTAAGCTAAATTGAAAGGGGGCAGCAGCTTGAGAGGTAAGCTCAGATAGCCGCACGCACTCCGATGAGGCCTGGAGGATGGATAGGGCTGACATCTTCTGGAAGATTCCAATTCCCCACCCCCAGCTTTCTTATATCTCTATGTCCTATCTTTCCACCACATGGGTCCTGAGGATCGAACTCAGGTGATCAGGCTTGGTGGCAAGCACCTTTACCCACTGGCCCATCTTGCCTGGTCCCAAAGATGACCAAGGGAGCACTGTGGAGGGGTGCCCTGCTCTGCAGTTGGAGGTACAGAGTCAGGAGAGAGCATTTCCACTGGTTCTTCAACTCACAAGTCCAATCTCCTCCCAAAGCCCCAGCCTGGCTTTTCCCTGGGAACAAGCCAGAGTCCACCCAGGAATCCAGGACAGAGATCTGTGATAGTCTCCCAGCCATTAGTGTCAGAAGGGAGCGGATGGAAGATTGGTCCCTCGTTTGGTGGCTTAGACACTCACAGTGCACCCAAAAAGGTAACCAAGAAGGTCACTCACTGGCTGTGAGACCTGGAGCAAGGTGCATCACCTCTCTGAGCCTATCAAATGAGAATACAAATAAAACCTACATCATGAGTTGATTGGGGTCTTTCAATGAGATAAAATAATTGAAGGTTTGGTCACCAAGTAAGTTCTTGGGACATTGGCTACTTATATAATTATTCTCATTTCATTAGTGTGTATATGGGAGATGGTGAGTAGGTGGGTGCTGGTGTAGGTGTGTAGTGTGTGCATGGATGGGCGTGCTTGTTCGTACCTGTGCACACAAAGGACAGAGGTCAACTTGATTTATCTTCCTCTGTCACTCTCTGCCTTATTTTTTGAGACAGGGTCTCCCACTGAGCTAGGCTGGCAAAACAACAAGCCCCCAGGATGCACCTGTCTCTGCCCCTCTAGTGCTAGGATTCCAGACACAAGCCACTGCCATGCCCAACTTTTTCATGGGTCCTAGGGATCAGAATTCAAGTCCTTATACTTTTGTAGCAGGCCCTCTCCTTGCTGAGCTGTCTCCTCGGTCCTGAATTTTATAGTTGTTACCCTATCCCCGATATCGCAGATCCTGAATTGTTTCTGGCACCATCTCTGCAAGTGACAGGCCTTGGGAGAGAGAGTCGAGTCCCCGGGTGACTCCACAGAGCAGAGGAGCTACAGAGGAAGCAGGATCCTTTTATAAAGGTGAGGAGGAAGAGACTGAATAAGGTTATGTCCACAGAGAACAGGGAAGCATGGGAGGGAGTTGGGGAGGACACGTGACTGGTCCCTTGTGCCCCAAGCTCTTCCCCACTTCCCTCCTCCAGCACTCACTGCAACATCTGGGGAGCCTCTGTCTTCCCAGGAGCTCTCTGAACTTCTCCCTTATGTAATCTGAACAAGGCATGTGCTGGATAGCTTTAGTGTCAACTTGACACACCTGGGTTGAGGGAGCCTCAATCGGGGAATTGCCTCTATTGGACTGGCCTATGGCCATGTCTGAGGGGCATCTTCTTGATGAGTGATGTGGGAGGGCCCAGCCCACTGTGGGTGGTGCCACCCCTGGGCAGGTGGGCCTGTGTTGCATAAGAAAGCAGGCTGAGCAGGAGCCAAGGGAGCAAGCCTGTAAGCAGTGTTCCTCCATGGCCTGTGCTCCAGCTCCTGCCTCCAGGTTCCTGCCCTGAGTTCCTACCTTGGGCTCCCTGATGAACTGCGTGCAACCTGGGAGATGTAAGACAAATAAACCCTTTCCTCCCCAAGTTGGTACTGGTCAGAGTGTTTTGTCACAGCAATGAAGAAACAAACTAAGACAAGGCATGACAGATAGGCAGCAAGTTTGAGAAAGCAGAGATGGAGGGAGCTCTGACTATGGTCCCCACTTGGCCAAGCAGGGAGGGCTGGGCACAGCACAGCTGGGCACAGGGCCTCTGAGATGGTCTGATGGCCAGGGAGCGGCCTTTTGCCTCTGGTTAGGCAGGCCAGACTCACTGACCAGAAGGCAGCGAGTGAGTTGGTGCATCCCTCTGAAGACAATGGATCACAGCAGTCAGAATCTTGACAGTTACGCACACCTGCCTTTCACCCCTGAAACCTGCCTGGGAATTTCACCTGAGGATTACCAGATGTCCACACTAGACAGATGGGAAATAACCTAAATGTCTAACAATAAGGGATCGTTCCAGTTGTGGGGAGGTGATGCAGTGCCATACCATCATGGACTTTCTAGAAGCCCAAAAAGGGTAAAATCTTTATATTTCAAATGACAAAATCAGGACTAGAGAGATGTCTCAGTGGTTAAGAGCACTGGTGGCTCTTGAAGAGGACCTGGGTTCAGTTCCCAGCACCCACATGGTGGCTAACAACTGTCTGTAACTCCAGTTCCAGGAGAATCTAATGCTCTCTTCTGACCTCCAAGGGCACTGCATGACATGGGCACATTTGAACACATGCAGGCAATACACTCATATACATAAACTAAAAATAAAAAACAATTGAAAAAACCGTATTTTTTGACTATTTAATAAGCTTGGTCCCTCAAAAGAAAATCACACCCATACTGTCCAGCTTCTTGTCTCTGACCAAAGTTCCCCTGATATACCTGGGCGTCCCTGCAGAACTTAGTGGGTGGATGACAGGAAGAAAGTCTGCAGACTCAGCTTGGCACCTTCAGATACTTGGATATTTTGAGCAATCTTGGAAAGAGGAATAGAGGCTGGATTCCCATTCCTTAGGTGAGGATATGGAAGCTATCTGTGAATGGCCACGTGAAAAGGGAGCAGGACCCTGTCTGTGTGATGCCAAAACCAGTGTTATCTGGGGAGGAGAGAGGACTAGGGGTGAATCAGGGCCTGGCACACACCAGGTGAGTGCTCTGCACCTGAATTACACACAGCCCACAGCTTCAGGTTCTCCTCTGAGACTTGGGCTAGAGTCTGATCCCCCTTGTGAGGTGGTTACTGGGGGGCGGGGGAGTGTACATGTATGTCTGTGTGCGTATGGGTGTGAGTGTGTGTGTAGTATGTATGTATGAATGGTGTGTATTTGGTATGTATGGTGTGTGTGTGGTACATGTGCATATGCATGGGTGTGTGTGGCGTTTGTGTTATCTGTGTTGTGTGGCATGTGTGCGTGTATGTATGTGTAGTATGAGGGCATATGTATGCATGTGTGTGGTGCATCTGCATGTGTGCATGCATGTGTGTATGTGTATGTGTTTGTGCATGTGGTGTCATTCCTCAGGAACTGTCTACCTTGGTTTGGAATCCAGGTGTCTCACTGGGACCTGGAATTTGCCAAGTGGGCCAGACGGACTGGCCCGCAGCCCTAGAGATCTGCCTGTCTCGGTCCCCTCAGCCCTGGGATTATAAGCACACGCCACCACTCCTAGCTTCTTTTTTTTTTTTTTTTGTCTTTTTAAAGCAGGGTCTCCCTGTAGCCCCAGCTATCCCGGAGCTCACTATGTAGACCAGGCTGACCTTGAACTCACAGAGCTCCTCCTGCCTCTGCCTCCCAGGTGCTGGGATTAAGGGCATGTGCCACCACGCCTGGCTTCACTCCTAGCTTTTTACATGTGTGCTGGGGATGGAACTCGGGGCCTCATGTTTGTGCAGCAGGCATTTCACCCACCTATCGGTCTCTCCAGCCCAGAGTGGTTAATTTTGACTGTCTACTTGATTGGATTGAGAGACCCACAGGGACACCATTCCAAACCTGTCTCATGGCCTCAGGTGGCAGCTCCCTGGTGTCACTCTGTTTGGTCTCCATCGTCCCATGGCCACCTTCCCTCTGCCTCTGCCACTTGCCATATTTCTCTCCTCTTCTTGCAGGACACTAATCACAGTGAAGGAAGAGATTCTGTATTCTGGGTGGCCTCATCCTAGCCTAAGGAATTACATCTGCAGAGACCCTTTTCCAAATAAGGTCATATCCTGAGGTCCAGGTGAACATGGGTTTGGAGGGTACTGTTCACCCCAGCATAGAATGGGCCTAATGTGTAGGGCGCCACAGCCAGGGTATGAGGCAGTGGAGTAGTTATGGAGAAATCAAAACCTCTCTTGCCTCAGTTTCCCCATCCCACAAAAGGAAGGGGGAACTGAGCTAACAGCTATGGCTTGGGGAAACACTTCTTGAACATGAATTATTATCTGTGGCAGCTACAAGAATGCACTCTGCAGACCCCAGCACAGGGAGCTTTGTGCACCCAGAGCCCCAGCTGCCTCACTTTCAAACCCATCCCTGCAAATGAGGCCAGGCCTCTGTGGGTAGCTTCTGGCCAATGGGTTCCTGGGGCGTGAAAGCTAAAGCAAGACTCCCTGAGGGATGGGGGATGGGGGATGCTTCAGGCCTTGTTCCTGCCCAGCCTTCCTCCCCTCTTCGCTCTACCCAAGTTCTGGGGCCTTCCCTATCCCTCTCCTAATTAGATACTGGTTCTCATCTTATATCACCTTCCAAGGGACCCAGACCAGCACAGTGTCCCAAAGGCCATCAGTCACCTTTGCCACTAAGTCCCCAAGCTCCTGCTCCCAGGGTCCTGTCCTTCAGATAGATGAGCCCTCCCCAATAGCCAAGTCCCAGAGGTTCTTGAAGATTCTCTCTCTGCTCCCAGCACAGCTCAGGCCTCACCTGCTGACCTATTTTACCCCCATGGACACAGTGATTGGTGAAAAAGGAACATGAGAGACCGTCAGCAACTGAGATCCCAACTGAACTTCTGGTGATGGTCTTGGGAAAGAGGTGTATCTTAGACTGGAGGTGGAGCACAGTGGTAGCACGTTTGCCTGGAAAGGATGAGGGACCTGGCTCCCATTCTCAACATTAAAAGAAAGCCAGGCACGATGACACAAGCCCATAATCCCAGCACTAGGGAGGCTGAGATAGGAGAATTGAGAATTCAAGGCTATCCTGGAGTACATAGTGAGCTCAAGACCAGCCTGGGCTACTCACTATATAGAATGATCCTGTCAAGAGAAGGTGGTGGGGGGAGAAGAGGAGAGAGAGAGAGGAGGGGGAAGGGAGATTCAACTTTTTTCACTGGAGTCACTAAGTGGGTAGAATGTAAGCCTAGACTTCTGAGGGTTGTCTTTGTGTCCTATGGCCTGAGATTGAAGTCTATGCAAATGAGCAAGCCATAGGGAGCTGACTATTGATGGTAATATTTGAGCACCTGGATCCAGCCATTCCTGAAGCTCCTGTGCTTTGCCATAATACAAATCAATCAATGCATTCCTCCTCTTCCTTCTCTTTCTCCTCTTCCTCCTCTTCCTCCTCCTTCTCCTCCTCCTCCCCTCCTTCTCCTCCTCCCCTCCTTCCCCTTTTCCCTCTGTTTTCACTTTAGCCTATTTTAATTGGGCATTCAAAACTTTTTTTTTTCGGTCTTTTTGAGACACAGTCTCCCTGTAGCCCCAGCTGTCCTAGAACTCACTATGTAGACCAGGCTGGCCTTGTACTCACAGAGATTTGCCTGCCTCTGCCTCCTGAGTGCTGGGATTAAAGGTGTGCGCCACCACGCCCGGCCTCAAAACCTTTTTAAAAATATTTTATTTATTTATTTTTTATGTGTATGAGTGTATTGCCTGCATGTATGTGAGTGCACCCATGTCATGCAATGCCGTGGAGGTCAGAAGAGGGCTTTGGATTCCCCTGGAACTGGAGTTAGGATCGTTCATAGCCGCCATGTGGGTGCTGGGAATCGAACCCAGGTCCTCTGCAAGAGCAGTCAGTGCTCTTAACTGCTGAGCCAACTCTCTAGCCCCTCAAAACTTAAAAAAAAAAAAAATTGACCAGGCATGGTGGTGCACGCCTTTAATTCCAGCACTTGGGAGGCAGAGGCAGGTGGATCTTTGTGAGTTCGAGGCCAGCCTGGTCTACATAGTGAGTTCCAGGACAGCTGGGGCTACAGGGAGACCCTGTCTCAGAAAGACAAAAAAAATAAAATAAAAGTTCCTGGCACTGTTTCTTTCAAGTGACTGCCTAAGGATGAGATTGTTACTCAAGGGTGGGCAAGATGGACTCATTTAATTCCATACATGGTCTGCTCACAGGGCATCACAGTGATGAAGACAAGGAAAAGCCAAGCAGCTCCCGTGGGAGCCCGTTGGCTTCAGCTCGCTTTTTAAAGCCAGCCTCTCTGAAATTAGGGTTTCCAAATATAATCTCTCCCTCACTCGACAGCTC